CAGGTAGGCGGTGAGGTTCCTGCACACAGGGGGTGTCCCCGCTGCCACCACCAGCTTCTCCTGCCAGGACGGTTGGTGTCCCTGCAGCAGCAGGACCCTCCGCGACTGCCGGGGCTTCAGCCGGTCCAGCTGCAGCTCAGCATCCAGGTCTGGTGGGCAACAGGAGGGTGGCACTGGTGACACCCGTGGTGACACCCCAGCAGTGCCCGTGTGACAGCGGTGCCCCCCGGGTGACACTGGCACTCACAGATGCGCTCAGGGATGTGCTGGCCCGTCACGCTGACACAAAACACCACCTGGAAACTGCGGGGGGACAACAGCAACAGGTCCTCAGGAACCTGTCCTGTGCCCACGGTGGTGTCCCCACGGTCATGTCCCCATAGTGACCCCATGACAGTGTCCCCAGGGCAGTGTCTCCTCACCAGCTGACTTGGAGCCCGGAGCTGGGCAGGTCACAGTTCAGGTTCTCAGGATTCAGCCCGTCGGGGACACTCAGCTGGGTCTGGGCCACCACCACGGGTAATCCCCTGGGGCACGGGAACATTGCTGAGGTGCCAGGGACCCAACGGGGACCCCCGGGCCACCGCAGGGACGGGCACTCACCGGTACACGGCCACCTTGTCCGCCCCGTAAGCCCCCACGAGCAGATCTGCAGGGACAAGCAGAGGGTCGGTGCCAGGCTGGTGACACCGGGCTGGTGACACCGGAGTGGCAGGACGGTGGCAGGGCGGTGTCGTGTCAGGGCTGTACCCGCGTAGCCGTTGCCGTCCAGGTCGGTGGCACCACGCAGCGCGAAGCCGAAGGCGGCGGGGCCGGGGAAGGGGCTGTCGAGGCGCTGGGTGGGCACCGGGGCCAGCCCCTCACTCTGCCCGCGGAAGATGAAGACCTGCCCGCTGCCACTGTCACCCCCCTGCGGGGCGCCCACGGCCACGTCTGGGGACAAAAGGGACGCGAGTACCCACCCGTCCTCTCCTGCCTCAGTTTCCCCGAGGGGCGGATCTCCTCATGCCGCCCCACTGTTACCGCCGAAGCCGTCGTTGTCCAGGTCCCCGAGGCTGGCGATGGCGGCGGCGAAGCGGCCGTAGGGGTGGGT